CCCCCCCCCCGCTTCCAAACACCGCCCCGGGGGGAAAACAGCTCAATTCCGTAAAATATTTTTCTAATAAAAACTTCACCGGGGCGGCGGGGGGAGCGGGGGCGGGGAACGGGAGCGATGGATGCGGCCGCTCGGGGCGAAAACTCGTCTGAAATATCGAAGCGCCGCTCCCGGGCTTCTCCCCGCGATTTTTAACAAAAAGAGGTAGATGGAAAGGAGGGGTGCGGGGGCTGCTCGGTGCCCCGGCGGGCAAACGGAACCGCAGCCGCCCGTGCGGGTTCGGCGGGGGTTAGGGCGGGCAGGGCCGGTGCCCGGTGCCCGCAGCCCGGCGGCGTGCGGGGTAGCTGCGGGAAACGCCGAGAGCCCCGGGGGCAACGGGAGCTGGCCCCCGACCGTGCAAAATGTGGTTGAAACCGGGAGGGTTTAGGTCGGTAGCAGCGCCCGGGGTTGCAGAGAGCTCCGGTCCCCGTCCCGGTCCCGGTCCCGTCCCTTCCCGCGGCCCGGCCGCAGCCGAACCCCCCGGTAACTGCCCAGCCCCGGCATCCCGGGAAAAATATCCCGCTGGTGCGGGTCTTCCCCCGCCGACACCGGCGGTGGCGGTCGTTACGCGGGGGGAGCAGCGTTCACGGTGCGTTACAGCCCCCCTTTTCCATGCAAATTGTTATTCGAAGAACACAGCTTCATTACACGCGGCATTTCGGTGGTGCATTAATGACCGTAATTATTTTAGCTTTAATTAGAGCACATGAGAGGCATTTCATTAAATATCCGCGCATGAGAAATGGTTGCGAAGCGCTGTCTCCGCGCTCCCGTCGGGCGGGAACGGCGGCCCCGCACCCGCTGCTCGGTGGGCACCGGCCCCGCAGAAAACGCAGAAAACACGCCGGTAGCTTCAGAAAACATTCCGCAATGAGAATATTTCTCTGGAAGTTAGGTTGAAGTTACGGTGGTTTTGGTTTTGGTTTGGTTTGGGTCTTTTTCCTCTTTTATTTTTTTTTTTAAACCTGCCATTACTTGGTAATTTTGGCTGCTGCCGGGAGGATTTGTTGTTGTTTAGTGCCAGATTTGTGTCTGCGGATCCTCTAGTCTTCCAGAAAAGAAAAAAAAATAATTAACAAAACCCACCAAAAAAAAAGAAAGAGAGAAAAAAAAATAAGGAAGATAAAAAGAAAATAAGCAGATAGTCCTGGCTGTGGGTGCAACTCGGCTGCAGCCCCCGCGCCTGCGGAACCTTGCGCTTCCCGCTCCGCGTCTCTTCGCTTCTCCCCGCCGTGTTGGGGGTAACGATGCAAAATATATTTCGGTGAATATTCGGCCTCGGGGGCGATGCGCTGCCGGGGTGTCCTGCTGGGAGCCCTAAACCCAGAGCAAAGCGGGTTTTTTTGGGGGGGGACGACGCGGGCGGCCTCCCCAGTCCGGGACCTCCCCGATCTGCGGGGCCGGGGGCCGCATCCCGCACCGCTGCCCCCGGTCCCCGTTCTCTCCCTATTTCCACGGTCGCTCTCCCTCTTCTCGGCGGGGCGGCCCTGGAAGGGATGCCCCAAATCGGGCGATTTTGAGCGGAAAAAAACAAACTGGGGAATTCTGGAAGGCGCGGCCGGGGAAGGGCCCGATCCCGCACCGGTGACCCCCGGGGACCGGGACGGGGACGGTCCCGGGGCGGCGGGTGATGGTGTGCGGGTCCCCCAAATAAGCGGGGTGTCTGCTCCGCTGCCCCCCGCTCCAACCGGGAGAGTTAATTACCTCGCAGCCCGCTTTATTAAATTTTTTAAAAATATATATATATAATGCGGGGTGGCCCTTAGTTCGCTGGCTCTGGCTGCTTAATTTAACCGACCCTCGGAGCCACAGCAGGGTCGGGGGGGCTGAGCCCGAGGCGCCCCCGCGGCCGGGATGAATTACACCCTCGGAAAATAAAAATACCCCCAAAATAAAACTATCGGAGAGGAATCCCGAGCGGTTCGCAGGCAGGAGCGGGGGTGTGCGGGTGGGCAGCGGGGTTTCTTGTGCGCTGCTCTCCGTGGGGAGCGAGGGAAAACGTTAAAAAGAGCCCAGTTTTGGCATAAATCGAGCCGAGGTCTCAACTACCGCACCGGGGGTGATTAATCCCTGAATTCCTGCCGGTATGGCCCTCGGACAGAAACCCTGATAGAAATCTGTGCATGTGAAAACAGATAAATCTCTCCTTAATTAGTTGCCGAGATACTGTTGTCCCGGCTCAACAAAAATATTAATCACCTGCCCCCAAACCCCCGGAGCCGCCTCCCAACTCCGGGGCTCGCAGGCATTTTTTAGTCGAGCCAAAGTGCAGGGAACCCCCCCCCGAAAACCAGCACGAAACGGGGTGGGGGGGCAGCGCCCGCAGCTCCCGGCGGTGTCCCCGCAGCCTGGGATTGCGGGTGTCCCCCCCGGGGCCCCGCAGCGCGATGCGGGAGTATCCCCGGCTGCGTGTTTGCTTTTCCCCCCTTTCATTTTAAATAGATTTCAACGGTTTTAGCGGTTAATATCATTACAGGGGGGGTTTGAGGAGATCTGGGCGGGTGCAGCGCCCTGATAGACCCCGGGCGGGTTTCCCCAAGGATCCCCCCCGCCCCGGTCCCGCAGCCCCGGCGGTGGTTGCGCGGTTCCCGCATCGCCCGGGACGGCGCCGGGAGGCAGGTTTGGGCTGAAAAGAATCGTTCAAAACTAAATTTCCAGAACGGCTGTCGGGAGCGGCTCCGGTTCGTTATTCCCGAGGGCAGCCCCCCCGGCCCGAGGAGCTGGGCACAGCCGAGGGGGATGCGGGGGTCCCGGGACGCGGGGGGGGATGCGGTTCAGCTGCGGGGAGGCTGTTGCTGGTGGATGTGGAGCTGGGAGCTCGCTCTGAGCACGGGGGGAGGCGAACAGCACTGGAAACCAGAGGGTGAGCTTCCCCCCGTACTGGTGT